TTTAGAGTTTTATTAAAGATCTTCTCCAAAACTGGTGCTACTGTTTCTTCTGTAAGTTTGTAGAACTTATAAGTTAAACCATCTATTCCAGAGGACTTGTTATTTGGTAGGTTTGTATAACTTCTATTATTTCTTCTTGTGTAATTCTTTTGACCAAAATGTTATTGGATTTATAATGTACTTGTGAAAGGTTTTCTGTGATTTCTTCTGCTGCTTTCTTGTCAAACTCTTCTGTTTTGTAGGTTTCTGCATATTGTTCTTTAATATACTGTAAAATGTCCTTACTATTTTGATGATTACTATTTGAAACTTTAATTTCTGAATAGATGCCTGGGATTTCCTTTATTTATATTTTGCAAAGAAATATTTTGTTGACTTTTCACCTTGTTCTATTTATTGCACTTTGAAACAGATATTCCATTTTCTGCCAAAGCTGTTAATTCCTCTTGTAGCTATATGTTAAGCTCATCTAAAGATGAAGACAAGCTTTCTGTGTTGAAGGAGCCAGCTATTTTTCACTTAACTTTGTTATTTCATTGTTAAGCTTTGAAATTTTGCTTTCTGTTATTTTTGGCTTTCTAAATGCTCTTATAATCGATTGTATGTAGATCTTGCAAAGATTCCAATCCTCTGTTGCATTTGGTTCACTAATTTCCTCTAAGACCTCTTTTTTAAGTTTTTCATTATTGAACATGGTTTTATCAAAGTGCCAATTAGATGGTTGTTTTTGTTTCCAGTTGGAGTTGAGTGAGCAACTAACTAGGAGATGGTCTGAGTTACCAAAATGTGTAGTAACCTTAGAGACTAAGTGTAATTGATTTTCATTGATAAATATGTAGTCTAAACATGTTGCCATCATGTTACCACCTTGTGTTTTTTGGTGAAATGTAAGAAAGGACTTAGAGTCTGCAATTTCTGCAGTGTTTAAAAAATTTCTTGTTAATTCTAACAGTTGGTTCCTGGATGGGTCTGGCTGAGGTACTGCTTGACTTATTCTGTTTGCTTCAGGTTTTAGGTTTATGTTGAAGTCTCCTGCTATAATGTTTATTGCATTTTCTTTTATTTGAGGAGTCCAGTTGTCAAAAAATGTTGCCCTGTTGCTAATGTTCGGAGATGCATACACATTAGTAATATGAAATAAGAGACCTTTGTAGACAAATGATACTGTAATAACTCATCCATCATTGTTTACTTTCATATTATTAAAGGTAATGTTTCTGTTTCTAGCCAGAATTGTCACTTTGTTTGACCAGAATGAGTCAAATATCCATTGATGTTTTAAAAAGTTTTTAGTGTTTTTGTTGTTGAGATTGGTTTCTTGCATCTAAATTGTAGGATTTTAAGAGTGTTAATATTTTTTGCTGTTTGCCTTGGTCATTTAGTTCTTTTACATTCAAAGTTGTGATTTTAAGTTTGAATTTTGAAGGCATATAAATGTACAAGAATTTTGACCAATTAGGTCTTTAAGGGCAGTCTCTCATTACATTGTTTCCTGTAAGGGCTAGGCCTTAATTGGTTCTTATCCTGTAAGCTCTTTTTATGAGATGGCATAGGGGTCTTCTCATTGTCAACTTCCATTATAGGTGATGTTTCTTCTGTATTTTTGTTTTCTGCCTGTGGTTCTGCATTAAGATACAATGCAGCCAGTTCATCATATGGTGCTGATATTGGATTAGGTGAGAGGTCCTTATCTTTACTTGATGTAGAGTTTCTTTTATCATTGTCTATTTTCATTGAAGGTAACAAAGGCCCCTTTTGTTTATCTTGTGTTAAATCATTTTCTTGTAAGCCCACATCATTTGTGATAGATGCATCATCTTGCAAGTATGGGTTTTCTTCTTTGTTAGCAGAACTACCTGCATGGAGTTCTTGTTCTGGCCTGATATTAGCTAATTTTTCTTTGCTGTATGATCCAATTCTTTTTTTAAAGTCTTGATATTGTTGGCAAAGGGCTACAGATTCCTGGAATAGCTGGCATTCCTTTTTAATATACCTTTCTTTTTCACAGAAGTAGTATACTTTTGCTGCTGCCTTCCATTCTGTTGTGACCCTTTTATCCCAAATATGGGTAAATCTTGGTATTTTATCTTCTAAAAATGAATCCTCTGTGGTCTCGAAAATTATAACCCACTGATCTGTTAGGTATAGTGTACCTTCAATTAATAGGAGTTTAATTGATGCTATTTTACCTATATTCTCAAAAGCATCTTTAATTGAGTCTAACAGTTCTTCTTTGTTGCCTAGTGGGACATTCCTAATTTTGACTGGCAAGAATGATTTTCTTATATCCATTGGAACATATCCAAAATATGTTCTGTTGAAAATTTTAACATCTTTTGTTGCATAGATCTTTAGTTTTTCTTTGTC